CCGTCCTAAAATATTGTTTGTGCCAGTTTTGTGTGTGTGTGTGTGTGTGGTGCAGCTTTTGGAAAAAGTTTGGCCAACAACCGAGAACTGAACTACAATTGCAGGCAGAGCGGCCAATCGAAAAGCTAAATCAAAAATGTTTGCCAGCTAGTCCGACTCTAAGCAACTAATTTCAGCTTAACCCAGTTTGGCCGCATTTCCAAAGCAATTACCGTACCCGAGGCTTGATCTCTGATTTATGAGACCGACGACGACTGGGGCAACAATACAGCATTTTTGTCATTTAATGCAAGTGGAAGATAAATTATTGCAAACGATTCGGGTTGGCGGTGGGCTGGTTTATTGGGATATTTGGGGTATTGGTGGGTCTGTCAACGGGGCGGAAATCAGGCAACATCCGCTCCATAAGCGGATGTCCGGTTCGTTCGCACGTTCACGCTGTGCTGTGTCCTGTGAGGTCCTGGGGTCGCCAGGGAATAAGCAACTTTAATTTCGCTAACTTTCCGCGCTCCGCTGGCCCTTTTGTGCCATGTTAAATGAAGTGAGAGATGAGCAGCAGATGAAGGCTTAAAGGCAATGGAAGAATTGGTATTTAATAACAAAAACCAGTGGGAGGTAAACATATACGAAATATGTTGACGGATATTTGAAAAAGCTTATAAGCTTTGTGAGATGCACGAGTTTTATTATAACAACTTGACAATTTAAAGATTTTCAGGGAAAGAAATCCTGTTAAGCCAAAATTTCCTAAAAATCATTTTTAAACCTTGAAATGAAATGTTTATTTTCAAATCTATATACTCGTATGACTAACTTCAACTTTCAATTAAAATTCGTTTGGTACTTTAAAAATAAAAATAAATTTTTGTAAGATTATAATGCAAATACAAAAATAAATATCAGAGATTCTGTCTGTTTGTTGTAAAAAACCCCATTTCAAATCAATTTAGTTATGCCTGTCAAGCTAAAAATCAGTTATGTACAGCTTTTGATTAAATGGGGTTGAAAAGGTTAAAAAAATACAAGGGAAAAGGGGTTTTTTGGCACACAAAATCTGAAGAAAAATCATTCCTTTGCTTATTTGCACTTAAAGCAGCAAACCGCTTGTCTGTCACCCTCGCATGTCTAATTCAATTCCATTGCGATTCCTATTAAGCCCAGCATTCTGGAGACGCCCATCGAAGTCACTATTCATTCAGACAGGATTTGGGCAAGTAAAACGCCCACTTTCCTCTTTTTTCACCCGGCCAAATGGCAAACAAGCGAGATTCGAGATGGCTGAAAGACGAGACGAAACAGGACAGAATCGGCTGAGTTATTACGCAAATTTAGCATCTGAATAGAAAATCGAATATTTCAAGTGGCGGGTAATGACATTTCAGCTCCTCGAGCATCTCGACGAAACCGGGAGTTGTCAGTCGTCGGCATTTTTGAGGTAACCATTGCCATGGCCGGGCTGTGGTAATTGAAGCTGGCATGTGATTTATTAACTCAATAATGGCAGAGATATCTCAGCATCACCGCCACGCCCCGTTGTTAATGCCAAGAAAAATTGATGCAAATTTTCGCCGAATTTTTGGCTCACACCCCGCACGAAATTCCACTTAAATTCCGCGCATAATTCGATTTGCATTCAAAAAGGGAAATAAGCAAATTTGTATTAATCGAAATGTATTCAACTTGAAGGAGGACAGGCCGCGAGCATATGCCCGCTGGCTTGGGTTCGATTCTTTTGTGGTTCATTGTGGGTTTGGGGCGTAATTGAAATATTTCAGCAAGGGTGGTTGGTATTCTTCTGCTTAAAGGACCGCACAGAAAAATATATAATTTATTTTTGGGCATTAGTATGTACTGTCTGTGGGTGAATGCGAACCTTACTTTTTCCAAAATCAAACTAACAAAATATAAATAAGAGCATCTAAAGAAAGACTTTCTGTATAACTTGCCCAACTATTTCTCCTCTAGTCAGGATTAGCATGTCGAATCTCTTCATCTGAACCCTGATAATTTATGGATCCCTTTATGCTTTGTTTTCTTTGTCAATGCCATTGGACAATTACGCAATAAGCTTTCGGCTTTCTCCATATTGGCTGTCTATCTCGGGTTAATTATTTCTTAATGGCCGTCTGGAAGAGGCGAAAACATTTCCGCTTCCGCTCTCAGCTGTCGCCATCATCAATCTATATAAACATAAGTTGGATGAAAGCAGACAAAAAGCCTCAATATCCCCAAACCTTTGTTGAGGCCTTGGCCAATATTTCAAATGGAAAGGCTTTTAAGTAGCTGTTGGCATTCTCGATATACGACAGCCAACATGTTCCTCTATATTGTATTAGCTGCAATAACAACCATAACTAAGCACTTTCCCACTCAAAAGGAACACCAAGGGGCCAGCGGGGTTGGAGGAGCAGGAGAAACTAGCACAATTGGTTTGCATTACCAACAACGAAATCTCCACTCGCCTGCACTTGGGCAAACAAATTACAAATAATTACATGGGAAAGGCCACCGCCCAGGTGAAACCCCCTTTCCCTCTCACCCAAAAACACTAACTGCAGGTGTAAACTGGCCCACTTTGTTGCATGTGTCGTTAGTTGTTAAGTTCTGTGGAAGGCATGTGTTTCACCTCACCTTTCCATGTCCTTTTGGTCCTGCTCCCACTTCTGATGATGATGATGATGACGATGGCGATTGCTGTTGTGGCTAACTGGAACTGACTAACTGTCTCATTGGTTAAAAGGCCTTGGCGTCCCCGTCTAGCCCTCCACCTGTGATACCCTCTGAAACGCCATCACCATGAGTTTCAAAACTCGAAGGGGCTGGGAGCCATCTAATCAGAAATGCAATTATAAGGGCAAATGGCATTGCCCCTGGAGCAGACGGAGAGGAATAGTCAGAGTAGAGGGTTTGACGAAGGGTTGTATTGCTGAGATCACGATTAGATTTTCAATAGAACTTCAAACTGTTAAGGTATCACATTTAAATATTCAACAGTATTAAGTTTTTGAAACCAATTGAAATTTAAGTTCATGTTCTATAAAGTTTTATTAAATATAATATGAAATGATGACTGAATCCTACTAATATTAATTAACAAATTATGAACATTTTTTCCTATAATTATTGGCTGCATTTTATTTGACAAAAGATTTTGTTTGAAAGATTTTAAATTAAGTACTTTAGTCAAATAGCATCTAGCCATTAGAGGACTCATTTATACAGGTTATACAATTTCTAATGGTATCGATTTCTTGCCAGTGATCTCGGCATCCGATCTTTAGTCTTAAAAAATCGAAAACGCGTACTTTTTTAAGTTTTAGCAATCCAAGTACGGGTTTAATGTCCTGGTGTGTGCCACATTTGCATTGTCTTCGTTTGTTTGCGCGGCGTTGGCGACAGCACTGTTGTCGTCATAGTCTTCTTGTTGGGCCATTGTCCGGAATCCGAACCCCGGACTCTGAACCCCGGACCAGGAATCGGGACTCCGGAGCCCGGACTCATTGTTGGCCCTTTGTTTTTGCGCCTCGCGTGTCTAATAAAGGCGCATCACAATGTGGGTCATTGTACGACTACACAGGCCAGTCGACATCATATGGCTTTGCATTTGTCAGCAGCATGCCACTGCTGCAACATCAACACATAAAGCGCTGCTAATTGCAAACACACACATGCAGCACAAGCGGCAAGTATGCACACAGCGAAACGTACATAACATAAAAGTACATATTCATATTTTTTTAAAATTAAATAACACGCAAGAGAATAAGATGTACAATTACAGAGTGTTAAATATGTTCAACAATTATAATTGATATAGAGTATTTTACTACGGAAATCGTTTCTGAATGTCTTTTTGATTTATTTATAATTTTTATTTGTTTCGCAATCAAAATTTAAGATTTCAAAATGAAGCTTTAAAAAAATGTTTTCAGTGTAGTCTCAGTTTATCCTCTTTGTTTCTCACAAAAGGAAAAAAGGGTGGAAAGTCAGGAAAGTGGGTCAGCGATGGCAAATCGATTTGAAATTCTGAATAATTAGTTCTGAGATTAATTCAGATTGTGTCTTAGAACTTCCTGCATTTAACAGTTATGCGTCACATACTTTTGGGAGGCAGTTTGCTAGAGATGCTTAGCTACAAAAGTAGGCAATATCTATACAAAAAAAATTCTACATGTGTTGGTGTGTAAAATAAGCTATGTAAATAAAAAGGAATTAACAAAAAGTATGGATTTTTACAATAACTTATTAAAATTGAAAACTTATTTGTTGAGCAAAGTCTTAATGCTTTATATATTTTAAATTATCATAACATTATGACAAAATATTTATTCCGTAAACTTGTAAAACAAAGCACTAAACTCTTAATTTTCAATGTCCCTTGAAGCTTTATTTATTTATCGTTTTTTCGATCATTTTTCCCCTTCCATAAAAAGGATATGCACAAATTAGTAAATTGTCATTTAATTTACAACTAGTAATATTAAGATGAACAAACTGGCTTAGCACCTTCCTTCCCAAGCGGGACCCAGATTAGAAACGCACCAATCATCGCCTGGAAAAAAGGTTAGTTAGACTCAAATATGAGCACTAAATAGCGAAAAACTTGCGGGGACTTGGCGGAGCTGGGAACTTAAGTTTTTCCCAAGGTTGGGCCAGTCCAATAAGACAAAGAACAACCGAAATTAAAGCAACTGTCTTCATTTCTGCGCTGTAAGTTAAGCAAAATGGTTTATATAAAATTAAAATCCTAACAAGATTTTAAATGAGATTATTGATTTCACGCATGAGATTTGTCATACATCAGCTGTAACTAATAATTAATTAGGTACGTGCTGACTTTTAAAGGAAAAAAGGTTCTTGTTACCCTGTGTTTTTGTAAAATAAAACGCAAAACGTGCAAACTGGCAATTTAGATTATTTGTAGTCTTCAAAATCAATGTCCCCTTCAGCTTCATTTATTTATCGTATTTTTTGATCATTTTCTCCCTCTGCCATGGAAATAATATGCATCAATTACTTTATTGTTATTTAAATTAAAATGATTAATATTGAAATGAACACATTTGTTTAGCAACGCCCTCCCCAAGCGGGACCCAGATTAAGACGGCACCACTTATCGCCTGGAAAAAAGGATAGTTACACTCAAATAAGAGCACTAAAAGGCTGAAGACTTACGGGGATTTGGAACCGGAATTGGGAACTTAGGTTTCTCCCAAGGTTTCTTTTGTTTCTGCCATGGCCACGTCCATGATTGGGCCAGGCCAATAAGGCAAACTACGACCACAATTAAGGAAATTGCCTTCATTTCTGCGCTGTTATTTAAGCAATTCGGTTTTTATAAGATTGTATTCTTAGTAAGGCTCATAATGGGATTATTAATTACACGGTTTTGTTATTCATTAGTTACTGTTTCTCGCTAAATTCGTGTTGACCTTTAAAGGACAAATAAGTATTTTGTTACCCTCCGATGTTTTTATAACATAAAGCGCAATGTATGCAAACTGGTTTTATGCATTTTTTAATACAAATTTATATGATATGTATAATAAAAAATATCCATATTTTGTAAACAATGTTAATAGATGGTGCTCACTTTTTTCAATAAATTTTAATTTGAAAGGTAATTTAACAGCCACTGTCAATAGTTAAAGTTTTTTTTGTTTTTAAAGCATGACCAATATGTAATGCTTGAAATTTTCACTTCCTTACTTTTGTCAAACTTCCATGACTTATATAACCATGACGTCTGGGATTATCGAAAATAGAAAAAATATCCAATATGTCAAGGCCTCCAAATGTTTTTATAATGCGTAATGCAAAATGGTAGCAGAACATTTTGCGATTCCGCATTCTGTGCCAGATTTGACCAAGAGCTGGGAGCCACAGAAAATCGCCATTCGATTGGCACAATATGTCTTCTTTGCCCGGCAACTGACATTAACAGGCTGGGGTAATCACCGCGCCCCAGGCCTTAAAAATCATGGACTAGTAGATGCAATTCCATGGTCCGGTAACCGCAGCTGTAAGAGTGAAAGGCCTGCAAAGAACTTGCAGCTGGTTTCTGCTCTGGACTTTGAATTGCTAACCTGATTCAATGAGCCTGAAAATCTATCACTTCCTCGGCCCTCCCTACTTCTTCGGCAGCATGTGGGCCTTTCTTTTCGCCACAAAATTTGGCCCACCAAAAACAAAAACTTGATTGACCAGCAGCCAACCTTTTTCTTGTTGGCAATACTTTCTAAATGCTCGACCACTGCCGGCAATTGTTTTGTTACAAATTGGAAATTCATCTTAAAAATGCCTAAGGAAAACTTGTTTAGCATATGTCAGAATTTCCCAAAGTTTTTATCGCATTACTCTAAACTTTATTAGAGTCTGGCGAGTCAAAAAAATGTTAAAAATATTGTCTTTAAACTAAAGTGTAAGTTTTGTCTTTCATAAAATAATTTGAATATAAAGGGCTAGAATATTTATATTTTACATACACAACAATATCATCAGGGGTAAACTTAAAATAATTCCATTGAATACAAGTTTGCATAGCTAAAATAAATTTTAAAAAATGTGACAAAGATTTTTTAGTTTGTTTTTGTCATACAATAACAAATATTGGTTTATTTAATTAAGACTAAATTAAATCGATAAGGCGTGACAAATTTCCACATCTGGTAAGGTAATGTGTGACTGCTATAAAAGGGAAGTGTACTCTGAAAAATCATTGAAATGAAGTCACTCGTGTTGCTGGTAGTGGTTCTCCTTTGCCTGGTGGGATTGGCCCCATCTGCACGGCACCCAAAGAAAAAAATTGAAATTTGGATACGTCCCAAGCCTTACCCCGACAGACCCCCACCAGATTATTATTATGGATAATTGTGTAATCAAAGATCAAAATTCTGTCGAAATAAATGGTATCATCTTCTGGATGCTCAAAAAATGAATGGATCTTTACAAAATTAAGAAGCACATAATTCTTCAAAAATATATGTCATTATAAAATACAATTTAATTTTTTTTTTATATTTTTTTTTTTTGTATTATATTTTGATATATGATATATTTATATTTTATGTAACATATTCGGTGAGATTGTAGGAGGTATAAGAAATATTAGCTCGGAATTTTCTGGCATAACTTTCATGAAAATTTTAATTTGTAAATGTTATATTTACAGTAATAGCCGCTTACAAGTTTTAAAAACGTTAAAAGTAATTAGTGACGTTTCTAATTCATTTTTCCACTGAATTAATGAAGTTAACTTTTGCTGTAAAAAAAAGAAAAAGCTCTGATCTTGGCACTATTATGAAGTCCCTGGTATTACTGCTACTAGTAGTTCTTAGCTTGGTTGGAATGGTTCCATCCAAAACAAAAGAATTAAGACGATATAAAACAAGACGAAGAAAACAACCTAAGGAATTTGAGGAAGTTTGGGCGGAAAAATTTCATTACCGAAAACACTGTCCTCCTTGGGAACTCTGTGATTATGGCAAATAATCAAATAAAAAAAATAGTAGGTAGAAAAAAACTACAGGATTTTAATTTATATATTATTAAAATGTATATATTATATTTTCAAAGTTTTGAATTAAAAAAAACCACTTCGATTGCAAAAATTATTTTAAAACTTATTATCATATAAAATGTATAAATATTTTTAGATTTAGAACATGGATTTTTAGGTAAGTTAAAAAGTTACTGCATAAAAAACACTTGGTTATTAATTTTTTTAGCTTAATATTTTAAAATATAAAATATTTAAAATATATTTTAGCGCTTGACAGCCAGAAGAGTTATAATAAATGAATCCGTTCCCAAGTATGCATAGTATTTTGACTGTCTGAGATACATACTTTTTAAAACACTTTCCTCTCCGAATTTGGCATGCTGCAGAACCGCAAAACTTTTGGGAAAAGTTGTCGGTGCAGTGGAAGAATAAGTTGCCGCCACGCCCAGTTATACTCTCATTATCTTGGCATGTAATTCCCAGCCCTGCCCGCCCCCTCGCCCTAAAAGTATTCACAATCCCCACATGTGTGTCAGTTTTGTCGCTCGCGGACAATGGCAGAAGTTTCTGTTTCGGCTCGATAAAGTATCTGTTAGATACAATTTACAATATTTTCCGCTCCGCCTCGTCCTGTTCGCCAAAGCGAAAGTTTCGGCAGCAAAGTATGGCTTTAATGATAATGACTTTAGCTCCAGCAAAAAGTAGCGCAAAGTTTAGAATACGCCAACGCAACGCTTTTGGGGATTTTGCCGAGAACTCCAAGTGGTTTGAAGAAGTTTTTACCTCCCCCAACCCCACCCAAGACACCCACGCACCCACATACGCGGAATATAACCAGTTCGGTGGGGTTGCGCCTGGTTGCGTAAGCCAACTTTTGCTACGTGTTGGCCATATGAACCGATAAGGAAAGGCAGCGGCAGGAACCCAAAAGTGGGGCAAGGCCGGGCTGTCTATTACGACATTTGAATGGGATGTAATTCGATATCAACGATGGATGCTATAGCTACAGTTTCAATTCAGATTAGAACAACTAGACTATGTACGATGTACTATAGGGTCTACAGATCGTGTCCTAGCACTGTCAGCGATTTACTTTTATCACAATCGCCGCAACAACTTCGGACAATGTCGGCGATTTATTGCATCAGCTCTAACTAACAACTCGGCGACCGACAGACACTTGGTTACGTTGTAATCGGCTGCAGAGCTGCAGATACAGATACCCGGCCAACAACAACAAACAAGCATCCTCAGCAGCCCGTAGCTACCAAAAACCCAATTGGCCGTACCCGATCCCGTTCCCTGTATCTTCTCATCAACGCGGCTAATCTGCACTAAGCAAAAACTCTATAACATTTGTCGCAAAATTAAATTCATCTTCTGATTCGTGATGAAACCATTCGCTTTTTAAAGCATACGTATATTTTTTTTTACTTTTAAAGTTGTGTTTACTATTGATCTTCCAATTTTCAGTACTTTTTTTGCTCATTTCTCTTACAGCTTTAAGTTTTTCTCCGTGTAGCTGCCGTTGCTGTTTCTGTTGTCAACTTCTTTGTTGTCGTCGTCGTCATCTCCTCCTCATCAACATCAACGAACCTCGGCAAAAGTCTTCTCCCAGCATCGGCGCAAGTTTCTACCAAAGTCCCAGGCTGTTAAGAGTTCAACTCGTGATGTTTAAGTGGTTTAAGCCAAGGTAACGATTTCCTCATTGGTCTACAATTCTCCAGTGCAGCTCGCTTTTGCTGTTGTTGCCGGCGACATTCTGTCATGCCACGATCACGAACCATTCGTAACACATTTGTTGCAATTTTCGTCGCTATTTGTTAAGGTTGAGAAGAGGTTGCAGCCAAAGGGACACTCGTCTGGGGGGTTTTGATGTTGTAAAATATGTACTAAACGGCAGGATAAATCGATTAATTGAAAGTTGCTGATAGGCACCAAGAAAAAGTTGCATCAGCAGAAAATGCTTGTTGTTGTAAGGAGTATATTTTGCAGACTGTTAGAATTAATAAAAACAATTTTATCTTATTCTTTTTTTTTGAAAGAAGGTAATGCACAATATTATCTTACAAATTGGTATTATGTTTGACTATTTTAAAGGGTAGTTTGATATTTAAAAAATGCTTATATCGATATAAGTTTAGCTAGTCTAGTTCTTTTTGGTTAAATAAGCTTTACAATTTCCCATGATATTAAGAAATTATTGTAAGTAATATCCTCCCTTTTTCCGTTGATTCAATTTTAAACTTTCTAATACTAGGTATCAAAATATGATGGTGTACTTATTTCATTTTAATATTTGTAAACAGCAATACATTATTCTGCTCCTCACTCACTTTTAAAAGTAAACTTCTCATTAAAATGACATTTATGTAATCTCGGAATACGAGCGTAAATTCGGCATTAGAAGGTGTTAAATGGTCGGCCGCCAAAGCGGTTGTCCGAATTGCAATCGCATTAAATTCACTTCCGTTAGAGGAGCGGCCACTTCCGCTTTAGAGCGAGATGGCAGAGGGACAGGTGGGGAAAACAGGTGTAAACTGTGACGCCGCCAACGGGCGACACATTTGGCAGCTATTCAAGTGTGATAACAACAATGTGCCAAGCCCGATAGAAAGGACACGTGGAAGGATAACAAACGAAGTGAGGGAAGCGGATGAGGGAGAAGAGATGAGGAAGAGTAAATCAAATTGAATAATTGTTACACGCGGAGCGAGGGAGATGGACAGATGGATAGAAAGAGACAGCTGGCAGGGACATATGATCGAGGCAGCGGCAACAGCAAACGCAGCCTAACAAGCCTAGGCAACAAAAACAATAACAATAACACTGAGAGGACATCAGCATCCTCCGGACCTATCTCCTTGCCCACGAAATAGGTCTGTGCACGGAGAAAAATTAGCCCTTTAAATTTGTCTTTTTCATGGGTTAAATAATTACTTATCTGGGGTTAATTGGGTATTTTTAAAGAAATTATACATTTTTCTTAAATAATTTTTTATACTGATCACGTGAGCAATGAACATTTTCTTTCAGTGCTTCATTCCATTCCGCTGCGATGAGAAGCGCTGCGATGCGACTTCAATTCAATCAATTGAACGTGCCACGAATGGTTAGCAATAACAAAATACACTCTAGTGGGCTGTGGGGGTGGTAATGGGAACACAAGGACAAAGGACCAGCGAGCAGACCAACTGGCGTGTGAAATTGACAATGCAGCTGCAAAGGAGAGGACCCAGATGGCGGGCAGGCATTTGGGTCCAATAAGCACTGGGAAAATAAGAATCTTCTGAAACGTACCTTTTTTATCCGTATTATTTACTTTATATGTAACATGTTTAAATATTAACTAAAAATTAGTCACATACTAGGAACATCAGGGAAGTATAATTCACCTCCAAAACTATTTAGGCTAAATCATAAACAAAGTTTTCATAAAATACAAGTATGACAGAAATTGATTGTAATCTTCTTAGAATATTTTATTTGAAATTACTTGTTGTACTTTGCCCGATTCGATAACGAATTAAATGCTTTCTCTGTACTATATTGTCAGTTAGCTTAAATTTAAAATAAAAGAATTTCCAGAAAAATAGTTTCCCGTGTAGTGAAAATATTTTTGCACGCGACAAACGACCAACGCACGGGATTAAGAGCCAGGCACACCTGACACTCGCCGACGACCGTGGTCCGGCTTGCCTTCATGAAAATGTCCTGTTTTCCGTCCGGGGTCCACATGTCCCATTGATTGACTAGGACACACGAGTGCACACATCAGCAGGCGACATTTTTGCATAACACTGAGCTGGGCAAAATCAAGCAAATAAAACCTATTTAGGTTGCCAGTACGGTGCGGACATACCAGTGATTTTCAATATTTGCAGCGGGCTTACCTCGAAAGGGGCCCATGTGCCATAACAGGTGTTGATATGTTTATAGACTGGCTAATGGGCGGGATTTGGGGGGCAACGGAATAGGAATGGGCTGTGAATGGTTTCGATGTGCGTGCAATTTGCACAAATTGCAGACAGACCGCATCGAGGATGCGAGACAAGTTTGTGGTGGGATTTGTCCGGTTATCAATTAAACAATTAGCGCACCATTATTTGAATAGGCTCAACGAAGTGTGCTCTGCCCCGAGAATCGTGGCTCCCACTCGTCCGCTTGTCAAACAAACATTTCTCACCCATCGCGATTGCACTTCGCTGGCTGTCATTTACCGTTGGCTCTTGGGTGGAAAAGCTCTGGAGTCCCTGATTGCCACGCCCACAAGATGCAATCAAGCGTTTGCCTCGAAGTATCTCGAAGATGCACCTCTTTTTTTTGGTTGTGAAGGAAGGCATACTGTTTGACGTTCCAAGATGTTTACCTTAATAAATAGTTGCAGAACTTATTTATCAGTTGTATGGTTACGAAAAGTTTATAAATTGCAATTGGTCTTGTTCTATATTATTATTTATTTTATGTAAATTAACAAAAAATAATTAAGTATTACATTTGGGGACATATTTATATTTTCATGCAGTTATTGTATCTCAATTTAATTATAAAGTTTATAAACTAAATACTTGTCTATCCACTTAACCTCCTTTCATAGTTTTTCCCCAGACATCACTGTGCTCAAGTGCACACATGCCAGACCAAATTACAAGGGATCCCAGCGGAGGAGCGAAGACGAGGCGTGGTTTTTTAAATTAAAAACTAAAATCGATTGACATTCAATTTGAGCAGGCAGCTCCCCGACTAAAGTCAGCTCCTCGGCCCGATGTCGTATCTCAAGTCAACATTTGTCGCTATAAATTTGCCAGTGCCCAAGTTTTGCACATTTCCTTGACTCCGCCACGGATGTTCGATGCCGAGGAGCTGAGATGTTGGGGAGCTGGAAAGCCGGGATGTTGGATGCTAGGATGCCGGGATGCGATGCGTGTGCGTGCGTAAGATACTCGGAGACAGATGGGAGCTGTGAGATGGAAACTGGGAGTGCTTCTGCCTCGGATGCTGTTTCCTTCCTAGCGACAACCTTGGCAGCTGATATAGCTAAACCAGCCAACCAGCCAACCAACCAACCAGCCAGCCAGCGGCGACATTCGATACTCGCTGACATGTGCGCCATCCGATGGAGATGCCCACGAGGGGGAGAAAAGGGGGCGAGGGGAAGTTGCAGCCCTATGATCACAGTGACTGCTATAACTATCCGCCAAATTCAATGCCACAACTGCAGTCAAGAAGTTTTTCAAACTTTAAGCAGCAATTTAAAATGTATTCCAAATGTATACAATTTTTTAAAAATGTTTAAAAGAAAATGCTTTAGTCCTTTAATTTTAAGAGTTCAAAAATACTATATTTTCTTCATATTAAAACTCAGGCAAATTCCAAAAAAATCTTGAAAAATCGAAGGAAAACATTAAAGGCATTTGTATTAATAAGCTAAACCAACTTAACTTGAACTTGTACAGATTCCCTTAACATTAACGATTAGATTTCTAAGTAACTTACTTCTACTATATATATATAACAGATATACAACACAATTAATTACTATTCCAAAAGCACGGCGGATCTCAACTCATCGTTGGCAGTGACTGTCATCGTACTGTTATTTTTCAGCCATCACTCGACTTGTATTCCTCGTTGCAGGTTCAACTGCGACTTCAACTTTGGCTCCCGTGTCGTATCTGTGTAAATGTATCTGCTCATCGGTATCCACACACTCGACGTATCTGCTGCCATGTGGCTTTCCGCGTTTGCGTGCAAATTTTGTGACACTTCACCCACGGGAGCGTTTTTTGCAACTTTGGCAGCTGAGTGCTGATCTGAGTTCCCTTCTGCTTTCTGCACTGCTCCTTCGCTCTATTAATCCTCGCTGACGCTGACAAAGTGAGACAGGTACACCTACAAAAGGAAACCATCTGAAGGCAAGGCATTCGAACTTTAAAAAAGGATTTTTTTTAGACGAAAAAAGTGTATTTAAATTAGGAACATTAACGTTGCAAATACCTTTGGAAAGTTGAAACTTGTTTAATTACATAACAGCGCGGAAAACCATTCAATAAATTTTCTAATTTTTAAGAAAAAAACTTACATTACTGATAAATGATGTTTATTTAAGATGAGATGAAAAAATCTTAAAATTAGAACCATTATATAGATGGAGAGTCATTGCTATTATTTCTTCCAGGAAATGGCTAATTTAATTTCCAGCATAGATGCTAGTCAACCCTTCATTAAGTGCCACTCCCACCTCCCACTTTAAAAAATGCGGAGGCAGCGGCACCGATGGCGTGTGCATAATTTCCCGACTTAAAAGGAAAGTCTGAAGAGCTGAAGAGTTGATGCAACAAGTTGCAGCCGCTTTTAATTGATATTAATTTAATTGACACTCCAGTTGAGTTGTGAACTCGAGTGGCGTTTTGGGCTCGTTCTGGTTCTGGTTCTTTTTACCCACGGTCTCCTCCTCCTTCTCCTGCTTTTTTCCTCTGACTAATCGCGTGGGCTTAGCCCGACTTGTCAGCCGGCAAAGTGGCGGCTTCAATGAGCTTGGCTGTAAACACAGTTCCCTGGCAAGGGAAAACGGGGTCTGAAGTGCATTTTATGAGTTTCCATTTAAGTTCAATTAGGTCTGCACTTGCGATTAGCATAATAAGCGGCGTAAAAGAGTTGCAAGAGGCACGCTAAGTATCCATGCAAATTCCTTTACCAAGTAGAAGGAAGTGTATTCGACCCTTGAAATAATGTCTAAAATATAAAAACTTTTTCAACACCTTTCTTAAGTTTTTCAATGAAAAGAAATTTATAAGTAAAATGAAGTTTATGCTTTTACAAAATAAAGAATAAAGAAAATGTACGTAAAACCATTTTATTGCTTGTATCTTAATTTGTAGATATGGGTTTTTTAAAATGGTACAAATTATATCATATATATATATATATATATATATTTGTAAAACAATAATAATATGGTCCGCAAGCCTTTGGTATTTTTCCTGAAATGAACCATTATTTTTCTAACGTAAAATTGATGACAATCGCTTTCAGGATTTTTGGCATCGTTACGTACGATCTGTTTTTAGGTTACGGTCTTGTAAGTGCATTTTAAGAGTTTCCATTTTATTTCAATTTGGTCTGCACTTGCGATTACCATAATAACCACAATTAGCAAGAGGCTTGCTAAGTATCCATGCAAATACCTTTAATAAGTAAAAGGAAGGGTATTCGACCCTTAAAATAATGTCTATACCTTTTTTACTTGTTTTCCACAACGAAGCAATGCACTTTTTAAAACAATTGTTAATTTAAAAAAAATCGCTTTGTAGACATTCAATGTCAAGTTATTTTTAATTTTTTGTAGGCGCACGAAAAAAAAGATTACCCTAATAAAAATTTAAGTTATTTCAAGCTTTCAAGGGCTTTAGGCATGCTACGGCATATCTAGCTTATGTAACCCAATACTTTCATGGTATATAAAAGGGAGTAAGTATTAAATACTGGCTCAAAACAATTAGCAATGTATACCAAGGTGTTTCTACTAGCTGTCCTTTTTTGCCTGTTGGGAGCAATCCTCTCCAGACGACGTAAGTTTTTAAAATTTAAATAAAGATTGTCTCTCTATTGTTGGTATTGACAGGTTTTTGCGATAAATCCATGTCTCCGAAATGCATTTTTTCTTCTGCATGGAAAAGAAATAAGACCAGGGCTAGGAATAAGAAACTGCGTTTTTTTTTACCACTTTGGCAATTTATTAAAAAAAAAATGTGACAATATCAATCTTTAAAGTATGCCCATTCAGAAGGCACACATTTTGCCCATTTTTCGGGCAATTTATGAATTCTTCGCCAGAAGAATTCTTTTTCCTTGGACCCAAACCAGTCTTCTAGCCACTCCTTAAGGTCTTCATAGGAATCGAAGCGCTGGTTGGCTAATCCGTGTCCCAAACTGGCGAACAAGTGGTAATCTGATGGATCCAAGTCAGGTGAATAAGCCGCATGGGGTAAGGACTCCCAGCCAAACGTGGCTACAAATTCCTAGGTGCCTCTTGTCAGGTGTGAAGGCTGCCTTTTTGCGTTTTGGAGCAGAGATTCGTTCAATTCTTCCAATTGTTGCTGGTAGCGTTCGCCATCAACGGTTTCACCCGGTTTTAGGAGCTCATACCAAACGATTCCGGCCTGATCCCAGAAACCGCACAGCATGGCTTTGCGGCCGAAACGGGCTAACATTTTTTTTGTTTGGTGTTTTGAAATAGATCCACTTTTCATACCAAGTGACAATGCAATGCAAAAAGGCCTTGGTGCCAAGTAAATAAATAAGAGCATAATTTGTGCAGTTTATTCATTTGGGCACCACCACAGGTTATGGTCTTTGAAAAGGCTCAATGACCCAACTTTATACATCAAATATACATCATACCGTTTTCTGTTCTCTTGTTGGCGTTCTTTGAGCTTATGCGGAACCCATCTGCCGACCTTTAAAATTATTCCCATGGCTTTGAGGCGTCTTCGAACGGTGTTCTGGTCAACATTCAATTGTTCCGCTAGTTGTCCTTGGGTTTGGCCCTCGTCCTGATCAAGCAACGCCTGCAATTCAGTGTCCTGAAACTTTTTGGTGGTCTTCCACGCTCTTTACTCTCAACTCCAAATTCTCCGCTCCGGAATTTTTTTAACCAGGCTTCTGATGCTGAAGTTAAGTAATTTCAACCTTTCTCGGCTTTTAGGCATGCTACGGCATATCTAGCTTATGTAACCCAATACTTTCCTGGTATATAAAAGGGGGTAAGTATTAAGTAAACAATCAAACAATAAGCAATGTTTACTAAGGTGATTCTACAAGCTGTCCTGTTTTGCCTGGTGGCAATCTCAATGAGTAAGTTTTTAAACTTAATTAAGTAATTTAATTAAATGTCTGTCTATTGTTGATATTAGATGCTCGAATACATTGCCCAGATAAGAACCGAACTGATAATTGCATTTTGCATGGGAAATGAACGTAAGTTTTTGAAATTTAATAAAAGATTGTCTGTCTATTGTTGATATTGACAGGTTAACGCTGCTGCACATAAGGCACATGCCTAAAAAGGAGAAAAATTAAAATGTAAAATGAAGTTTATGCTTTTGAAAAATAAAGAATAATGAAAATGTATGCAAGTAAAAAAAAATTATATCAACAATTTATATATATTCTTGTAAAACAAACTTTGTAATATGGTTCTCAAGACTTAGGTATTTTTTCCTAAAATTAAAGATACAATAAGATCTACAATTGATTAATTTAAATAACACTTTCTACTGGTGGTCTAGTAGAATAAACTACGGAATTACGCAAGGGGCTAAGAATATGATAAGAAACCAATAAACCACTTACTATGAACTATTATTTTTCTAACGTAAAATTGATGACAATCGCTTACAGGATTTTTGACATCGTTACGTACGATCTGTTTTTAGGTTACGGTCTAGTAAGAGCATTTTAAGAGTTTCCATTTTATTTCAATTTGGTCTGCACTTGCGATTAGCATATTGAGCGGCGTGAAAGAGTTGCAAGAGGCTTGCTAAGTACCCATGCAAATTCCTTTAATAGGCAGAAGGAAGTATATTCGATCCTTGAAATAATGTATATATCTTTTTTAACTGTTTTCCAGAACGAAGCAATGCACTCTTTAAAACAATTGTTAATTGTTAAAAAAAATCACTTTTATTATCTACAAAGTCTAGTTATTTTTAAATTTTTGTAGGCGCACCAAAAAAAATATTACCCTAACAAAAAAGTAAACTAATTTCAACCTTTCTCGGCTTTTAGGCATGCTACGGCATATCTAGCTTATGTAACCCAATACTTTCCTGGTATATAAAAGGGGGTAAGAATTAAGTACTGGCTCAAACAATTAGCAATGTTTACTAAGGTGATTCTACAAGCTGTCCTGTTTTACCTGGTGGCAATCTCAATAAGTAAGTTTTTAAAATTAATTAAATAATTTAATTAATTGTCTGTCTATTGTTGATATTAGATCCTCCAGTATATTGCCCAGATAAGGACCGATTTGATACTTGCATTGTGGGAGGAAAATGAGCGTAAGTTTTTGAAATTTAATAAAAGATTGTCTGGTTATTGTTGATATTGACAGGTTAACACTGCTGCACATAAGGCACATGCCTAAAAAGGAGAAAAATTAATATGTAAAATGAAGTTTATGCTTTTGCAAAATAAAGAATAATGAAAATGTATGCAGATAAAAAAAAATTATATCAACAATTTATATATATTCTTGTAAAACAAACTTTGTAATATGGTTCTCAAGACTTAGGTATTTTTTCCTAAAATTAAAGATACAATAAGATCTACGATTAATTAATTTAAATAACACTTTCTACTGGTGGTCTAGTAGAATTAATTACGGAATTACGCAAGGGGCTAAGAATACGATAAGAAACCAATAAACCACTTACTATGAACCATTATTTTTATACCCTTGCAGAGCAAAGGGTATTATAATTTTGGCCAGAAGTTTGCAACGCAGTGAAGGAGACACCTCAGACCCCATAAAGTATATATATTCTTGATCAGCATCACGATCTGAGTCGAAATACGTCTGTACGTCTGTCCGTCTGTCCGTCTGTCCGTCTGTCCTCCTGTCCGTTTCTGCCTAAACTAGTCTCTCAGTTTTAAAGCTATCTTGCTGAAACTTTCCCAAAAGATGTGTAGTTATTGCACGCAGTATATAAGTCGGAACGGGCCGGATCGGGCGACTATATAGGATAGCTCCCATACAAGGGATTGAAATACAAAATTCTAACGCCGTTGTTTTTGATCAGATCGACTTGATTTCTTCCACATGGCGTTTTCTAGTTACTATTGAATTTCTGGTTAAATTTTATCGAAATCGGATAACTCTATCATATAGCTGCCATAGGAGAGATCAAAAAATATATATCGAATTAATGGAAATTAATTGATAACGTCATTGTTTTTCACGACTATGATTTTTTGAGTAGCAAGTTTTTAACTAGCCTTGATTTATAAAAAAAATTTCATAAAAATCGGACAACTATATCATATAGCTGCCATAGGAAAGATCGAAAAATCTATATAGAATTAACGAAAATAAAATGATAACATCGTTATTTCTTATCAGAAAATCATGATTTTTGGAATATAGAGTTTTCTAACGACTCTTGAATAACAAATAAAATTTCATCAAAATCGGACGACTATATCATATACATAGCTGCCATATGAACAATAGTCAAAAATATGACAAATTTATAGAAAAGTCGTCGTTGCTTCGATGTTGTTTAGCCCTTATGTATTCTGTTCGAAATATTTGATGACTGCAAGGGTATATAAGCTTCGGCTTGCCGAAGCTAGCTTCCTTTCTTGTTCTAACGTAAAATTGATGACAATCACTTTCAGGATTTTTGACATCGTTGAGCACGATCTGTTTTTAGGTTACGGTCTAGTAAGAGCATTTTAAGAGTTTCCATTTTATTTCAATTTGGTCTGCACTTGCGATTACCATAATGAGCGGCGTGAAAGAGTTGCAAGAGGCTTGCTAAGTATCCATGCAAATTCCTTCAATAAGCAGAAGGAAGTATATTCGATCCATCAAATAATGTATATATCTTTTTTACCTGTTTTCCACAACGAAGCAATGCACTCTTTAAAACAATTGTTAAGAGTTTAAAAAAAATCACTTTTAATCTATAAAGTCTAGTTATTTTTAATTTTTTTTAAGGCGCATGAAAAAAAAATTTAACCCTAATAAAAAATCTAAGTATAATAATTTCAAGCTTTAAAGGGTTTTAGGTACGCTACGGCATATCTAGCTTATGCAACCGATTACTTTCATGGTATATAAAAGAGATTAAGTATTAAATACTGGCACAAAACAATTAGCAATGTATACTAAGGTGTTTCTACTAGCTGTCCTTTTTTGCTTGGTGGGTGCTGTCCTTTCCCAAATAAAACCTAATGACCGTAAGTTATTAAAATTTAAGTAAGGTTTGCCTGTCTATCGCTGATATTCACAGGTGAAAAATGGTGCCGACTTAACTTAGGACCTGCTTATGGCGGAAAATGCTAAACATTAAAAAGAGTGTAAAATTCAGTTTATACTTCTGCAAAATAAAGAAGGAAACGTGGTTATTGGATGTTAATTAAATTTTGAGTAAACACTTTGAGGATGTTGGGCATCGTTAGACACGCACTGTTTTTATGTTACGTTCTGGCAGCTATTTACGGTCTAGTAACCATTTTGTTACTTTGTTGACTTTATTAAAGTTTGGGAAAGAAGTATATACTCAATAAATCTGCATTCAATCCGCTCCCAATCATAACGGTTCCCCGGACTGCAGTCTGCATTTGGCGCTCTGTTTGTATCGTGCCTCCATGCCATCAGCATCATCATCATCGCAATCCCGGTGCGCAGACGCTCTAATCGCTCATTAAATGGCAACAATTTGCCCGCTCGGCGTTGCATTTAAATTACTTTCCCATTGGCCTGGCCAAGGGGAACTGGCTGAAATTTGTTTATGAGGGCCAGCGCAGACCTTTTAACTAAAACTAAAGCTCATAACTCTACTCTGGCCATCCGACTTGGGCTCTGTCTAGTCCGTTGGACAATCGAGTCGCGTGAATTTAGGCAATCAGGCGAGGTCCGTGGAAGTTCCAAAGTCGCAGCTGAAAACTGAAAAGGCTGAAAAACTGCTGCCTTTCCCCCTTTTTAGGCCCTCTTTGTTGTCGTCGCATTCATCAAAAAACGCTAAAGTCGTGCAGTTCGGTTTCCAAATCTATGCCCCACCCGCATCCTCAAGTTCTGCAGTTTCTGCAGCCCGTTCCCTTATTGCAATTGGCATGCCATGCTTAAGTTTTCCCGGGTTTTTCTTCAGAATTTTCCATGCTCTTTAGGGGGAGAGAGAAGCCGAGCTGACCGACGTGATATTATAAATTTAGCTGTGCCACAGCTCACTTCCTCTTCCTTGTCCACCCATGGGAAACTGCTTTCTGCCTGACTTCGACTTTCTCTAATCTTCCAGAATCGCCTGAGCCGCAGTTTGAATTTATTTCTACATTGTTTGGGATAATTTTAATGTCTAATGGCCATGAATATTACACAGGTATACAAGAACATTTTTTAACTACAATCAAAAATCACTCATGATTCAATTTGTATTATTTTACTTTTTAGATAAGCACACCACAACAAATTTAATTCTATAAATTAATTTCCTGAGTTACGCTTGGTTGCGTAACGAACTGCTCAACTCCAATCGATTGAAATATACGAAAATAAGCAGATATCACAACAATCCGCTTCGGATCCAAAAACATTTGGCTGCTGACTCACATTCCCACTCCCTTCCACGGGCACTTCAAAAGGAATTTCAAATATTTATTGACGCCCCGCTCTCAAGCTGGCTCATAACTGTTGTAAATTACTTGGCCAGGTTGTAAATATTAATAACCAAAAGGGTGAAGCGCCGTCTCCCAAAAATAGTCTGCATTATGGGGGGAATATTTCGACTATTTCGAGATGAGCTGGAGAACCAATTAAGAGGATTTCAAGTGCTACGAAAATAACGCCGCACAATCGAAAGGTGACGAAGCGAGCTCGCTGGCAAAGGAGGAAACCCCCTGGAAAACTCCGGGAAAACTCCACTCGTCTGTTACATAAGGCAGATGCTGAAGAGGGTGATAGTGCGGGATAATGGAGAGATGGAATCGGGAAACTGACATTGAAATGTTGCGCGTGCAGCAGTGCAAACAAATTTAAAAATAAAATAAGGAAAGTCGGAGTGGGAATGGTGAGGAAAGTTGCGTCTGCAGCATAAATTACACTGCATTGCTGCATTAAGAGATCAACCACTGGCGAGTATGAAGGGGAAATGCTTTCCCAGCAGGAGGCTGCATCTGCTCCTCAAGCATTTAAAATGCTGTAAATTTTAATTAGACGAGATGTTCTTACTCCGAAATTGGAGGGCGCAAGCCATGCAACGCACTAAAAGATTTCACTGCTAAATATCTGAATAAAGATATCAAGATATATAATCAAGACAAAATCAACGAGGACATAGTTATTTGAATAGCTCAATTTAAATTCAATCAATTAAATAAAAATAAGCGTACATCAAATACGAGATTTTCTTGTGTTTGTTTTCTTACCAATGGAATAATTATTGAATAAATTATACTAATTGCCAAATAGGCTATTCAAATAATTCAAACAGTTGGTAAACATAATTGCATATCTATACATTTCAGATATCACCGTATAATGTCAAATAATATATCACCGGCAAATATAATTCTTAACTTCTATTAACTTCCTGCTATCAATTGCGGAGGATCCCAGAGCAATTGCAACTCCAACTCTCAGGTCGCCGTCAGAGTTGGCCATAAATAATAATCATGACAATATTTAGCCCCGGGCAATGTGAACTTTTCGCACAAAAGACCCGAGTCTTGAGCCGAAAGTTGAGAGCAACTCAGCTCGATTTGATGCCAGGCGATTCGAAATGAATCGCGAGTCTCGAGGCCTCTTTGTTTTTTGTTTGCCGCTTGCCGCAAGCTGCAGGAAATTCTGTTGACATTGGCTGGAAGTCTAGTAGACTATGGTCCTTTTCAGTAATGCTCAATATCTAGCTAATTTTTTTTTAAATAGTTTCTTGTATTTTGCATTCATAGATTCAATGTAATTCATTAATGAAAAAGTGAAACAAAAATAGAATGTATATTCTTCTCCATTTTTTTCCTGCTATATTACTACCTTATTTGACCAATCAATATCTATAAGTTTAAGTATTTTAGAGGGAGTTAGCTATGTTGAAAAGCAGTGACTTCTCCACCACTGGCTTTGCTCCAAGTTCTTGGCCTACCTTCCGCCTTCGGAGCGCTTATCAAAAATTGCTTGGCATTGCAGGAGGCTGGGAATGCCCGGCTAGAACATTGTTCGACTGCGCCTCGGCAGCAATAAACGAAACAAAATGAAACTTACACTTTTCAGTGGGTCCGTCCCCCTCCAAGTTGTCGGCATAGCCACAATTCCTGACATTCGTTGGCTGAGATTAATGCGCCTTTGGTTGCAGCCGCCAAGTCGGCGAGGGCAGGTCAAGGGCCCGAGGTCTGAAGCGTCTGGGGCCATAAAAAGTTCCGGGCGATACTCTAAACAATCCAGAGTTCAAGGGCTGCTGGTAAAACCACATGGACAGCGTTAAACATGTGCCAAGAAATGATGGTCCTCAACTAATTTATTGTTTGGTAAACACACTTTTACAAAGAATCCTCTTTTCTTTGTCAGCTAAAGAAAGTCGTCAATATATATATAATAATGGGTTGTAAGGCTAAACGTTCAGTAGCAAATTTATTGCCCAAACATGGTGTTAAATAAACTCTCGACTTTTCAAAGCCCATAAGCAAGCAAGGGTATCTGAATTTCTTCATACTCCCATCCATCTCCGCTTTCTTGCTCTTTTTTTGGACCTTATTGTCGACCTCAGCCACAGTTTAAGTTCCAGTCTCGGATTGCGCAATAAGAGCCCTCGGAAAAAAGAATAGGACTGCCAGAGAGCGGAGAAGAACGAGGCCCAGAAGGAGCCACACAGCAAATTGTTAAAAATAATTTATATTAAAACGCAGCACAAAAAGACATTGCAATGAAAATTGTGCAAACAATTCGAGTCCAGAAAAAAAAAACGGCGAAGAGATGCCAGGCAGATCCAACAATTGCGATAAGCGAGGAGCAGCAAAAACAAAAAGTGGGATGGCGATGGGTATGGGGATCCGGGAGCAGGGCTCTGAGCTGCAAACAAATGTCCAAATGATATTTTGTCATAATAAATGGCACAACTATGATTATTTATGACTCGAAATGCGATCGCTTCCCTCCACCAACTCCACGCGGCTCCACCAGCTCGCTCAATTTAAGTCTCATAATCAAAGACGAGACGAGGAGCTCTGGTCATGATTTCGATTTCTTGCCCGGCCATGTAATTTATAGTGCCAAGAGTATTGAATACCGCTGAATTCCCCTTGTTTTTGTTTTGTTTGCTGTTGTATTTCGGTTTTCCTGCCCCTTTTTGTGGCAATCAAAGCGAGACTTAGGCCACGAACTGACTGCGATAATGCCGTTTTTTCTCCGATTCCCCGATTTTGATTTGCGGGCTTCGGTTTTAGCTCTGCGGCTTCGATTTCCTCCATTTATTGCTGGCCGAGGGTATTTCGGTTCTAGGTCTCAATTGTGTCTGATTGTTGTGAGGCATCATTAGAAGAACGTAAATCAAATACTTTTTTCGTTTATGACTTTTTCGCTGGGAGTTGAACCATTTATGGTTGGTAATGGAGGCAAAAACTTTAAGGCAGTTTGGAACGGACATTAAGCCTGGAATGTTGCGGCTAATTTGAATGTGCTAGTTAGGTTTGCTCTAAAACAAGATGTTGTTGAGATAGATCATTTCTATAACAACTTGTGAAGTAATGAAGGTTTTTGTATTTGTTTTCCATATTTTCACCGATTGTTCCTGTGTCAGCTATCCCCTTTCCAATTTTCCAAAAACTTTGCTGAAAATTTACCAAAACTAAAATCCAATTCGAAGTCCATAACTTTTCCAATTTTAATCCGATTTTGAAGTGGCATACCTCTTAAAGTTAAATTCTGTACTTCTTTAACCAACTACATCATTAGACATTTTCTTATTTTTATGACGATTTATATGCTATCATCTTTTGACCTTTGTTTTCCCTTCCTGAAAGTCGCTTTGTTTACTTGCCATTGCTCGACGTTAAAGGATTCTTGTGGCCATTTATTGGGATATACATTTCGGTATTTTCGCGGCACTGGCAACTGTCAATAAGTCTTTGCACTGTCGGCACACATGACACCAGTTCCCGGTTCCGCTGCCATCACTTAACCTCCTCCAGTGCCCCGTCCACATCCTCCATTTCCACCGCCGCTGACGCTGGCTTTTTATGCTCTCGTTTTTTCCAGCGTTTTCAAATTAAACTTAAACTTTTTTCATTTCCATTCGGCACACATAGAAAAAACTCCCGACAAACCCCCTATCCCAGCGATTTTGCTGCGCACATGCGTTTCAATTCCACTCTTTTTTGTAGCTGGTGGGTCTGATTCCTGGTATGCCGCGTGCTCAGCGTGTTGTTTGCTTATTT